TTTTAGCTTAGCTCTTCTGGTGAAAAAATGAAATTAGAAAAAAATTTTTTTTTCATGGCTTATCCAAAATTAGATGTTGGATCATTTGATATTTCTGGAAACCGATGTATAACACTTTTAGTTGACATCAACATATTTACCATCAGGTCAGAATATGGGCGAGCAAATAGATTAACGAAGTTCAAAATTAGCAGTTCAGCAGCACAAGGCTTTCTTTAAAATGATGAGTTAAACAGAGGTAGATTCTTTAAATAAGCGCTCAAGATGCAAGCCACCAAGAAACCGTCTAGACGTAGGAGAAGCACACCGTTCGCTGAAGATTCGATGACCCAGGCTACCGCGAGACTGCTGCATCGCCAATGTGTTTTGGACGAATGTCAGAAGAAGCACCTCCGTCGATGGGCAGCAAACAAGGAGCTGACAGCCGAACTGCTGTGCCCTCGATGAGTCCGTCGAAGAGCACGCTGAAAGCCGTCACTATCGATAAGCCAGTGTGGAAAGCTGAAGCCTGAATGAAGGTTGCTCGCTCCGAACGATGCACCACCTTTTTTATCGACTTTGCTTTCTACAGAAATGTGGCAGGAGGGAGAAGTCTGGGGGAGGGGAGCGGGAAGGGGGGCCTGAATAACTTGAAGAAGTTGTCGTTTTCAGTCCTTAATTCTATATTTACTGCCTGTAAGTTATAAAAGCAAATTAAAAATTTAATTATTTCTTGCTTTTCTTGTCAAAGCAATTTTTAGAAGCTTCAGTTCTATAAAAGCACAATCTAGTAGCTATAGCTGGTCTGCCTTCCGGTTAAAAGTCGCCGGCTTTCGTATGTTCATTTTTGTTTGTGCTACATCTAAGTGCGTGTAATTGCTTGCTTGATCGATTCCTAGAATTCAAGAATTTAGACAAGTTAAAAAATGCCTGATACCGATACTTTATAAATTTTCTCTTTGCTTAGAATTAGCAGTGTTAAAAACCATTATAGGAACGAGAATTCGCCCGAAGATCTGAAGGATTACCGAAGGACTTGGTTTGAAATCACGGTGCCATCAGCCAGCATCGTCCTTTTATGTGTACGCTTTACCTACATAAATATATGTGTGCTTTCAGCATTTCCAGTTTAGTTTGCTGAAATGAAGAGTTTTTAAATAATCATCAATGTGCTTGCATCGTAGATCTGGGGGATTCCGTCAATGACTTCATGAGCATGAGCGTAAACACCGTTTTTTAGATATTCCGTAGAATCAGAATGAGTCGATCTTCTGAGGTATTTGGGAGACTAATTTCGAGAAGTTCAGCTTTTGCTTATTTCGACTACTTCTACTCTAGAATTGTAACTTATAATTGGTTCTCCAGATGCGAAGTTAGCAAGTTTTGTAGTTCTTTCGATCACTTCTGTACCTCTCTGTTGATCAGCCTGCTGATGATTCCGACACCTAACTGGTCTCATCTGGTGATACTACCAATTCAACGGTTCCTCCGACAGAAGCACTTGTCAAGGCTGTAGCAGTTTCAAGATGTCATTGCTGTGTATTCGCACTAGCATCTCGTTACGAGCAGTAGCACTCCAGTCCAAAGTTTGATGCCATACTGGCTAAAAGTTGACGGCATCCAGTCCCTAAAAAATGGGGGTGATGAGTGGGGCCTTCGATACTTCGTGTGCAGTCATTTCAAATATCGGAATTTCAAATCCGCCAAAAATGAAAATAAAAGATGGAGTTCATTTGATGATAAGCGAAAAAAATAAGTATATCCTTCGATATTTGCGGACTCGCTTGAAACGTATCATTTCATCCACTACAGTCTACATGTTTTACAGAAACTGAGTAGACTTGCTGGATCTATTATTTCAAGTTTAATAACTGGAAGACTATAACGCATTTCAAATTCCAGGCAAGTTTTGTCAACTGGGAATGCTTCTTGCAATGCCAAAAATGCGACGAATCAGGGAAATTTGGTGTTTGGGTTGATATCCCACCGGGACGCTATGAGTTCGTCTATGTGGCAGATGGAAACTGGATCACCAGCGACAACTATCCCACGTGCTACAACGAGCACGGAACGCTGAATAATTGGAGACAAGTTGAATAAATCGAGTTCATTTCTCCAGAAACAGAATTTTTTTTTCTGCTGCAATATTTCTACCTGTGCACGTTTGTTTCGTTATCCGTTGTGCCTTGTAATTTCAAACAGTTCTATCTGATGATACAAAGAAATTGTTGAAGATAGTATATTGCTCAGTGAATAAAGCATTTACTGTGGACAAGTAACCATACCTTCGCATATGCTTTGGAGGAGGGCAGAAGCCCATTACTCCCTAAATTATTGCTCAACTAAGGAGCTAGAATGCGCATTAAAAAAAATGGATTTATCTTGTATTATTATAGACTAAAGATGAATCGCGAGCA